GAACCCTCACCCTCACCCGAATCGAACCGAACCGATGCGAGCCCCCCCCCCCCCCTCCTGCCATCTGTTGTTGTTTTCAATTGCTTCCCCACGTTTCCCATCCGCTGATTGCAAACAAAATTGCAACTCAATAAGCAAACTAAACAGCAAATATGCGGCAGCTCTGCGAGCCTCACAATGCACCGCCACCACCACCACCATCCCACCATCCCTACATTCCAATTTTCTGCCATTGCACCCAGTATCTTGCCCCACCGACACCGGAGCGAAATTCTGACAAATCAACCCGATATTAACCTCATTTCAGTGTGTGCTTTTCGGTTTATGGTTTCAGTGCAACGCCAAACAAGATTCCAGTGGGGAGATTTCCCTCTGAAACTCCGTTTCTCGTCAATTTCAACACATTTTTGCTTACGAGTACGAGTATACAAAAAAGTAGACGGCTTACACATACGATTGCTGACCTTTTGTGGGCCAAGATTTCAATGCTGGCTACCATTTAACCTTTAACCTCGTTGGTCAACGTTTCCGTTTTGCAGAACAGCTCAAATTGTATAAATTATAATTCTTTCTTCAGCCAGCCTCACCCCTCATGCACTACTTGCACATTAACAATGAAACCCCCTGTGCCACCACTCACCGCCCCGCCATCTCAACTCAAGTCGCCACGCTTCATTGTTTGCTTTCCCTTTCTTTGTTTTCCTCTGTTGACTTTATGAAATTAAAAAGGAAAATTTCCACAAGCAAGCAGAAGCAGAGCGAAATTGAAAATGAAAAAGAAAACAACGAAAATGAAAAGATTTTGCTTAAAGTTTGGCGCAAAACTTTAGAAAACTTTAGGTGTAACAACAGCCGACAGCGGCATGGCATTGAGGTAGACAGCCAAAGCAGGAGGGAACGCAGAGTCTTCAGAGAACTTTCCATCCCTGGATCCTTTGGGGCCGCCCCATTCGATAGTCGAGCACTTGGCCCTCAGCACTGCCCTTCAGGCCTGTTTGGAGTCAGCAACAATAATCCGTAAATCAATGAATAGCAAAATGTCAAAACAACTTCCTCAGAGTTGGCAAATTGCAGAAATCTATCTGCCAGAGATGGGCGGCATGGGTACTCTGAGGGGTGTACTTCGAATGGAAAAAAGTTTTGAAGAAGAAAGATTTCTATTGAAAGAGGGAAAATATACGTGCCTTAATAACTCTCATTTCAAACGCCTAGAAAGCCATCCTTTCTGATGTATCTGATGTGAACTGAACTTTTTTTCCACACCCTTCTCATTGCATATGCGTTAATGATCTAAAAGGAATCCTGTAGCATTTCCATATGGGAATTGATTGCTCGTTTTTTATTGGGTGACCATCCAGGGGGATGTTGGGCGGCGAGCACCAGTTGCCATGGCAATGGCCCGATGACAGCTTTTCCGCCTTTATGGACGTTTATTGCATATGAAATGTTTGGCTGGAGTTGATTAGGACTAATTAGGGAAGCTACGCTGCTGAAATTGTGAATGAAATGCCGAAATGGAATATTGATTGGGCCCGATATGGTTGGCTGACTGACGGAGAAATCCTTTTAGCATTGGGTAATTGGATAAGCGAATGGCAACTATGACAATCACTTCAGCTATGCGCATGGGTCGGGGAGGAGGAGTTGGAGGAGGAGGGGCATTCATGAAATGTCCTGGAATCGACATTTGGTTAATGCCTCGCAGCACTCACAGGTTAACGTTTCTGATTCGCACATACTTTCGAATCCAACTAACAAAAGCTGTCAGTGATGGCTGTGAAAGCCAGCAGAGTTTAATTAAAATCGAGTTTTGGTGTTTTGTGCTGGGCCTGTCCTCCCGCAGCTATTTCCCACTCAGAGCAGGACTCGGTGAGTTGCTGAAAAGTTCTACATTTAATTAAACGTAATGGCAAAAGTTATGGCCAAATCAAACCCAATTAAATATGCAACAGATTTTGTTACGCAATCAACGAACTGAGTGAAATTCAATGTGAAAGCCTCCATCCGTCCATCCATCCATCGGACGATGCCAATGGCATCTGCATCTTCATTTGCCTGTGAGTCTGCAGTTTATTAATCATACGCTGCTCTGTCCCAGCGCTTTATTTGCATTGAATAATTCTACGAAAATTGTATGGAAAACCACACACACACACACACACACACACAAGCACACACACAGTCATGATTATGCACAACTTTGAAATGACCTTTGCTGCTCATAATAAATTGTCGTTGCTCGCCTTTGGATTGCTCCTCTAACATTTTCAAATATTTAAATACAAATGCATATTGAATTTCTGCGTTTTCCCATGCTTAATGATGTTGTGTGTGTGTGTGTGTGTGAGGGGTGTGGGTGCCAGAGCGACTGAGGGGGAAAAACCACAGAGAGCGAACAAATGAAAGCAAAATGAAACGATAAATATTTGGTTTTCGTTAAAACTTTAATTAAAATCATGTTGGACCCCCGCAATAATTTATTTGTATCGCGTTGCTGCTGCTGCCACTTTACCCTCTTTTTTGTGGGGGGGTGGGGGTGTACGGGGGAACGGGTGAACGGCTGCATGGGTTGGGTCTGTCGATAACAAAACAATTATACCGCTTTGTTTGCTTGAATTGTTGGTCGTCGCAACGCCACCGTTCTCCTAGTACTGGGCGCCCCTCAGCCGTGCTACTAATTGAACTCGCCGCAAAATGTTGCACACCCTCAACAGCAAAAGTATTTGGCACATTTCCCATTTTGACCGTACAGTTTGCTCGCAAAGTATTCGCACTGGTGTTTCACGCTCCACGCTGATTTATTAGCTCCAGGAGAGCTGGGATTAATTTGTTGTTGAGGTTCTCATATTGGGGAATATTTTAGAGAAATTTCCGAACGTTTTACGAACGAATTTCGTAATAATAATAAAACGAATCGAAATCAAGCGACCCCTGGTAACGCTTGTTGGCCAGCATAAATTCTTGAAATTGAGATTTTCCTTCTTAAAGACTTCCTTTTCAACCGTCTTCTCGGAGCCCATCGTCCGTCGTTCCCGGAAGACGGAAACAGATTATAACTATGATAGATATAGCAACAGACTGCCCCCAGGCCGCCGATACGATACCCATTCCAAGGCCCCCACCATCCACCGCCTAATGACAGCAGACACATCTGCTCGATTTCCCAGCCAACGCATTAGGCCAAAAACCAAAGTGAGAAAGTCATGGGGGAGGGGAATGGGGTTGAAAGCGGGTGGAGGAAAAGCATTTCACAAAAGTTAAACGGTCAAAAATTAAGCAAAAGCAAAAACAACAACAATAGCAACAACAACAACAACAACAACAGCAACACGGCGATATATAAGCCAAGTTAATGAGCACAAAAACAACACGCGGGCAAAACAGTAAAGAAAAACGTTAAGGCATAGAAAAGCTGTTATGTAAAGAAGGCCAAAACGACGACGAAGAGGAAGGGAGGGAAAAAATAAACTGGAAATGAGTTGATTTGGTGGCACCCACTCCTCCTCCTCCTCCTCCTTCGAAGCATGCCAAAATTGCCAGCTCGACCAAAAAACTAATTTCAAATGGGATTTTCCCTTCGGTTAAGATAGAAAAAACGCAGAAACGTAGAGGAGCAATAATAAATAGCCAACGGTTTTCGGTTTTGGCCAGCAAAATAAAATCCACTCAAAAGTTATTAAGTGCAAATTAATGAACATTAGCGGCTGCTATGCTGCCTTGCTGCCTTGCTGGCTTGCTGCGATGGCGCTGCCTACTTTGGGACGTCTCTCCTGCGGCTGCTGCACCAAATTGATGCAAGGCCGAGGCAGCAGGGAGGGTGGCCGGATGGCAGGACAGACTGAAATTTCATTTAATAATTTTTCAATTAAATGCAGACTGCTGACCAGCAGAGAGGGAGATTCTGGGCAGTAATGGGAAGAGAGCCAAGCCAAGCCAAGCCATGTGGAAAGCTTAGGGAGCCTGCGAAAGCCATGGGAAGAAGGCAGAGAAGGCCTCTGGATTGGGGCATACTAATTAATGAGAGTATGAGCACTTGGAGGTTGTTCCAAGACTTAATTTCCACTCAATTATGGTACGGCAACATTTATGCTAGTTATTAAATCATAGAGAACCATAAGTTTAAACCAAATTTAGCAATTTTAGCTGACTGCAACAAAGCGGGACTCAGAGTGGCCATTTATTTCGTATTTCCCTTCTGCCATAATCTGTATATGATCCACTCTCCATTAAGCTTTTTCCCTCCATTATTCCTTAAGGAAAACCATCCCATCAAAGATTATGTGCTGCCGAGGCCGAGGCAATTACTCATACTTTCATTGTGGCTCCCATCAAGTCAAGCCTAAAATGGCCATTTGGCTGTCTGAGTTGGCTGTCTTGGGTTTCGTTTCGTTTCGTTTTGGGGTATATCGTCATCGTCTGGCCTTGAATTTAATTAAAATCTCATTTAGTCCGGACGGATTAGAGCCAAAGGCTAATAGACCCGTCGCGCCAGCTCAGCAGCGAGTACTCCCGTGCTCTCGTACTCCCGAACTACTTGTGTTGCAACCATTCGCAGCGCCCCACGACCTGCGATTGTCCCGTTCTCCGGTTGCCGTATGGCAATTAGGCCCGGAGCCCGGAGCCCAGAGCCTGGAGCACGGAGAGTTCCTCTGATCAGTCAAGCAGCATTAATCAGTAAGCAATATAAATAATAATTTGAAAGAAAAAAGAAACAAGAGAAACCCAAGAAGAATGAACAACTCTCGCATTTAATGAACAGCCAACGCAGAAAACAAAAAGGAGATAAGGAGAACAGTAGAAACACGGGAAAAAATGGCGGACAACCAAAAAGGAACTGGGGAAAATGCGAATTGCAAATTGCTGACCTAGTTCACTGTAGCCATTCTGCGTGTTTCACCTGAGCCTGAGCCTGAGCCCGAGCCTGAGCCCCGCCATTAATTGACATTAATTATGGTTATTCATATTCATTTCTGGGTTTGTTTGGTTGTGTGTTCTCTTACCTGGATTCGAGGCATTTATGTGGAACTCGCAGAGGTTCTTGGTGCCCTGGGCAAAGTCGTAGGAGTCCGAGTCGGTGAAGAGTATGTCCACATCCAGTTCGAAGCCCCGATTCGGTATGCCCTGCTGCAACGGGGCCGAGAAGGGGCTCGAGTGGAAGGCGACCAGCATTTCTGCGCCACTGAAAGTCACAGACAAAACAGGAAAATTGAAATGAAAATGATTTGCATTTGTATTTACAGTATTATATTAAATTGGCAGAATATCTTGGCAGATAAAAGAATTAGAGGGGTAATTTAATATATTTTCCATTGAATTTTCGAATTTACACATATTTATTTGGAATGAACTCCTAACATGGAACTCTTAAAATGCAATAATATTCTATTTCTTTGAATTATCAAACGAGTAAGTTACACTTCTTCATCACCGTCTGCTGTGTGCGTCTGCTGGGAAATCTAAAAGCTGCCGTTTCTTTGAAGGAAATTAATTGAGATTTTAAGGAAATTGATATTCCCATCAGTAAAATCTTAAAGTGCAATAATCTTCATAGTTGAATTTAATTAAATATAGCATTACGTGCCCGTTTTCTACTGCTAAGAATCTCAGAAGTTTTCTCCACATTGCTCATACGCCCCATCTGACAGCTGCTGCTGTATCGAGTGCTGCGCTCTTCTGGCCATAACCAGGCCACTGGCACTCCAATTAGAGGCGTGAAAAAAGTTGTGCTCACATAAATTTAATTTGCACAATTCGGCAAACAAGAAAGTCGTAAAGTTTTTGGCCACGAAAGAGGCAACAAACCAACAACCAACAACCAACAACCAAACAACCAACGTTTGGTGGGCGTCTTGCCAAATCCCTGACTGCCACGCCCAAAAGTATGACGCAGCGCACTCTGCGCTTTGGTTTTGCTTTGTTTCGGGCTATTTAAAGTGTCCGCTGGCCCGCTCCGCTCTTCTGTCCGCTCTCTTGTCGCCGCCGTCTGGTTGTTTGCATTTTTGCTGCCAAATTAACTTTTTTCGCCATTGTCTTGCCTGCTGCCTGGCAAATGGGGAGTAAGTCCGACAAAGTTTTAGGCAAATTTTTTGGCATAACAAAGTAACAGTCGAGTCGGGCCAAAAATGTAGCCGTTTGTCTTTTCGTATGTTTTTTTTTGGCCAAAATTATGAAATGGTAGTCGCCTGTGGTGGGTGTGTTGCAGCAAATCTGTTTCAGTCACCTCTATGAAACAGAACGGGTTCAGTTCCGTCTGTCTGTGGCAGTAGACGGCGCGACGCCACCAGATTTTATGCTCTCCAAGCAATGGCAATGACATCGAGAGTGTTCATAAAACTTTCGAGCAATTGGCTCTTTCTTGAGAAGTACAACTAAATGCACAACTATTGAAGAATATCTTCAATCATTTTCAGAGGCGGAGAGGGAGGGGTTGTTTTTATCAAGTACTCCCTCATTCACTTCCTGTTTAACATGCCTCGTTCGTATCCATATAAATTATGCTCAAAGTTTTCAATTTAAACATCAAATTGAATTTTTATTACTCAACCATGAGGTGCACACGGAGCGTATGCGTAATATGGCCTGACATGAAATAAAACAGAAACTGAGACACACGACCTGGCAGGGGGCTCACGCACCCGCCTAAGCCAGGACCTGAGAAGCACTTAAAAGGAAACTCCCACGCAGACGATGTCAAGAGCCATCAAACATGGCCAACAAAATGGCTTTTTAATACGTGTAAGTGTGGCCGAGTGGGAGCTCCTTATTATTTAAGGAAAACGTGCTTCGTGTGGATGGGGCGGATGGGGCATACAACAGCTGCAACAACGTTTTTGTCAGTGCCAAGTGCAATAAACTGCAAATGAAAAGTGAATTAATTTTTAATAAAGCGACACAAATGCTTGTGTCCTGGGTCCCCAGCTCCTGCCGTTTATCCTGGGGGATGTCCTGCTTACTTGGGGCATGTCCTGTTTTGGGGAATGTCCTGTTTCACAGCATGTGTGTGGGTGTGCGTATATAGGGGCCAGGGCAGCGTTTGTGTGCTTTTGCGTGGCATTTGGTTACTTTATGGCCTGCGGCATACTTGTGGGTGTCGTGAAATCAACACGAACCCATAGCCATGTCTATGCCCATGCCCATGCCCATGCCCATGCCCATGCCCATGCCCATGCCCATGCCCATGCCCATGCCCATGCCCATGCCCATGCCCATGCCCATGCCCATGCCCATGCCCATGCCCATGCCCATGCCCATGCCCATTCCCATGCCCATGCCCATGCCCATAGCCTCCACCGTAAGCCCGTACTCCATTTGCCCTGCCTTTAGTTGCTCTCATGGTTCGCCTTTGTCGGTTATCAATACACGAAAACCCCTCCCTGTCGTTCCTGTCAGGGTGTCCAGACCGCAAATGGCAGCACAGCACCGTCGCCACTCAAAATTCTCTCCAGCATTGCGGTCAACGCGAGTCTGGGTATTCACAGGCAGGTGTCCGCTAGTGTTTGGAGAGCCTTAGAGTACACGGGAATTTCAAGTGATTAAAGGACACAGCCCTTAGTGAATTATACGCAATTTCGGATGCGTTTCCGCGATTTCGAGCGAAACCCAAAGAGCACACGGAGCTCATTAGGCAGTTGATTGAACCAGCTCGAAATGGAGCCGGAATGTTTGTGCAAGTCGCACTGAAACACAAAATTTAGTTGGTGGCATTACGAAAGGGGGCTAAGCGTATTACGAAAGAGTATAGCGGTCGTGTTCTCTACTTTGCGGAATCGTTATTTATGTAAGCAGCCACTGATTTTTGCAGCTATCTATTCCTGAATGGCCCTGAAACTTTAAACGCCTGCAGGGTAAACCATCAACTACCTTAAATTATTATTAACCATGGGCAAACATCCTTGACACCAAACTCCACCCACGCGCTTCCCCCCGGCAGCCTAATCCGCAAAGTGCATACTCAGAACGGAAAAAAGCAGGCAGCAGAGGAAGCTGAAAATTTGTGCCATAAAAAATTAATATGCAATTTAAAAAGTTATCGCTTTGAGTTTTTCTTTTACTGCTAACAAAAATTAACATTTACTTAGAGGAAAAGCAACAGCTGCTGCAAGTTTTCCACCAGCTTTTCCACCCACCAAGGCTACCAAAAAAAAAAAAAAACACAAAAAGCACAAAAAAAAGGAAACGAACGAAGAGGCGCTCCAATAAAATACCAACGTCTCGTGGCACCTTTAGCTTGTTGCAATTTTAAGTTGCTCTGCAAAATTAATAATTTTCATGTGGCTTTTCCTCACCCTGTCTCTCTCACTCTGACTCTCTCTCTCCCTCTCCCTCTGTCTTTCGTTCTCTGTAAGTGTCTCCTCGCCTTCTCTCCTGTATGCATATGCGATTTTCGTACAAAGTCGGAGTGAGTCCCGTGTCTGAGAGGTGAGAAGTAGAGGTGGAAATGTTTGAGGAGCTGGAAGCGACCCTCTCCCACTCCTCTGTGTATGCATTTATAATTCGTATGCTCATGTCGCGTATGACGTGACAGAGGAGGGCTGGCAGGAGCTAAAGGTGCTGCAGCTGGAAAGATGTTGCATGAGCTACGAGGCTGGCTTCTTAATGCCGTTTCTCTCGGCCACCCACCCACTTTTCCATCAAGCTTTCGGAGCGGAGCATCTTTCGTCGTTCGTTTTTCGTCTTTCGACTTTTTCGTTTTTCTCCATCTTGTGCATATTACGCTCTATGCATATTTGATGCGCTCCACCGTCCCTCTGCCCCCTCTGCCCCCTCGCACCTGTGCAGAAGCAGCGTGAGCATGATTATGGGATTTTCCCAAGGATACGGAAAGGATGTCAATAAATGCGAGAGTGCAACTCATTAAGAGATTAAGGGCCACAAGGCAAAGCGATCATCGTCAGCCCCATAACCATTATGGTGATCATCAAGATGGATCCCCTGGAAATATTACATATTTGCACAGCTGCCCGGGCAGACAGCTGTAGAGACACTGTGGAGGATAGAACGCAGGAAGCCCGAAAAAAAAATCAAAGTTTATGTGCAGGTCTCAAGAGGCTCTCTGCAAAAGAGCAAACTTTTGCCCCTGGCCGAAAGACAACAAAAACAAATTCTCAAGTGCTAGATAAATGGCCAAGCGGGCGGTGGGTTGTTGGGGGGGTGGGGTAGAGGTCGTCCTGTGGCAGAGGCAGAGGCGAAGGCCACTTGAATGTCATGTAAAGGCGTGGGCGTGGCTGAGAGCTGCATTCGAGCATTCTGTGGGATGTCCTAAAAGTGTTTTTAAGTGCTTCGAGAGGCAGACCTGCAAGAATTTATGGCAATCGAAACGAAAATTAACTAGTTCCGCTTCCGGTTGACGTATGTATACATATGAATGTTACTGTACTGACTAGTTCTTTATGATAGGCTATAAAATGGAGTTAAATTTTTATTGCCATTGTAAATTATATTCGTACAAAAAGTATCATTTTCCATGATAATAAAACGATTTAATCACAATTCCAAGGAAGGAAGCACAGTTCTAAAGAAAGTTCTAGCTTTAAATATACTTTTTGTATAAAGTGCTTTCAATTAGTAAATTATTTGAGCCAATTCAGCCGAATGGAAACCATACTTGTATAAACTTTGGCAATTCAGCAATCACCTCAGACAATTCGCACACTAATGAGTCAGTGTACTACCAGTGTATACATAGTTGGAGCAACTAAAACTACACCGATTAGCTGCGTTTCAATTACTTAAAGCCACCTCTCCAAACCGCCGAGCCTCAGAGCCGCAGAGCCGCAGAGCCGCAGTACCACTGTTCCAGTGTGTGTGTGTTTGGGAGTTGGGAAAACTTGCGAATTGCTTGTGAGAGTCGCTTGTCTTTAAGGATTTATGGTTGACGATCTCTATGTGTACGAACGTGCGAGTAAATGCTGGCGAAACTTGGCAACTAATGAGCAAAATTTTGCCATTGCATAAATCATATGCATCAAAATGTTTTCAATAGAAATGGCAGCAGAACAGAACCAAAGTTCCAACCAAACGGCAACATAAATCTATTTATTTCAATGTGTGTGTGTGTTTGTGTGTGTGTGTGTGTGTGTGTGAGTGTATCTTGAATCTGGTATCTCGTATCTGTTTTTCACTTTTCGTCTCTATGTCTCTCAGTCTGTCTGTCTGTTCGTCCGATGGTTTGTCTGTCTGTCTGTCTGTCTGGCACTGTCTGCAGAGCCAACCCAATTTCCGGTTTTTGCTTAAGCATTGCAATGCATTGCGCACAATTGTAAGGCCCACACACACACACATAGATTAAAGCTGTGCCTATGTGTGTGTTAGTGTGTCTTTGTATCTATGTGTAACTGAATTGGAACACATGCGCCCCAGGCCAAAACTGCAGTGCAGTGCACTACTCGACTGCGGTCTTCACACTGGGACTGGAACTGGAACTGGGAATGGAAGTAGGAATGGGACTGGGAATGGGAATGGGACTGGGGCTCTTTCACTCACTTACACCAGTGATGCGGAAAAAGGCTCTCAATCACTGTGATTGAGAAATCACTCTGGCTGGGGGATATGCTCGAACTCATAGATCAGGCCTCCAGTGACTTTGATTGGTCTTCAAAGCTTGCCAGTTATTTGGCAGTTCGGGGCTATACATTTGTAGGAGAAGAGTCCAGCCAACCATTCACGATACGATGCTCGTAATTTTGGCATCTTCGAAGTTTATTTGGCAGGGAATCTCAAGGGCTTCTATCATAAGATACGGTGTCGGATCACAGTATTTCAATATTTCTTCGCGGCCGAGCATCACGTTTTTTTGTACAGGGACATTCACAGGAATCACAGCACCTACCAAGTAGCTGTTTTCTCATCACTGTGGGACACACACACACACAGCCATACACAGACATGAACACACACACACACACACACATGCTCATTAAAAATGTCTGTCTATCTTTTCTTGTAAATGTATTATGAGCTTTGCTGTGCTCATATTTAACTTTTTCATAAAAGGGAGAAATGGCGTTAAATAAATGTCCTCTGTCTGTCTCACTCTTTCTTCTTCTTCATCCCTCTCGCTCTCTTTTGCGTTTTCTTTCTCTTTTTCTTTCTCTAGGGTTCTCATGGCACAAAAGTAACCCATGCAATGGGGTAAAAAACTTTTGAAAAGGCGCCTTTCTTGGGACTTACCGTGACACGACGCGTGGCAACCAATCGCCGCCGCAGTATTTGGCCAGCACGGGATCGTTGGTGGAGCTGCCGTCATAGAAGATGAGATGATCACGTTCGCCCGTGCAGTCCGACCAGGCGCGTATGGAGCGTGAGGTCTTATTGAAGCTGGCAATTGACCTGTGTACGAGAGAGGACAGAGTGGAAAGGTTAACCATACGAAACAGAAAAGAAACAATCGCAAATGGGTAAGCAATCAATTCGCAAATTCAATGAAAACAATTCCATTGCACCGAAATCGAAAAGGATTGTATATAGATATATTCGCATACATATATGACTTAATGGCCTGTCAGAGCTTATAAATATGGGAAGGGGCGTGGGAGCCGGCTCTCCTTTCATAAATTGGAATGTGAAATAAATGGAAGCTAATATCAAAAAAAAATTCACCTAATCCCATCAATCCAATAAAAAACTTCACATGTTTCCTTTTAATACGTTTTTGCATACAAATTACATTGAATGTTTAGTCAGACAGTCAGTCAGACAGTCAGTCATTCAGTTAGTCAGAGATCCCTCTCTATATGTGCATACGGAATGCATTCTGCCTTCTGTGTCTGTGTGTGTGTGTGTGTGTGTTTTGCTGCATTTAATTGGAATATACAAAACTTTTCGCACAGAATGCTTAACATTCTCGGACATGAAACAGTTTCATTTTGCAGTTGTCGTGCAGTTAACAAACTGCAAACTCGAACTTCGCTTAGCAATTTGCCAAATTGAAATTTGTCATACAAATGCAGATGTAGATGCAGATGCAGATGCAACCCACAGATCCCCATATCCCCATATCCCAATATCCCAGACACACACACATCCATTGAAAGGGAGGGGATGCGGAGACAGGTACGGGACTGGACGGGACAGAATGGTAATGCTTATTTAATGCTCTCCAATGCAGGTGGCATAGAATTTTCGGTAGTCATGCCCCATACCTATACCCATCATCCCGTCATATGCCCCGTCCTGCAATCCTGCCTTCTACTTACCGCTTCACTAAGGCCTTGTGCTGATTCTCCTGGCTAACGGCAATCATGGCATGTTTGCTGGTGGGAACTTCTTTCTGTCGTATGGTCCAGTAGCAGGTAACATTCCTCGGATACATACCAGGATAATTTGGACTTTGCAGGCGACACTTGTTACGATAGCATTCATCGAATTGCCTCGTACAATAGGTGCCAGGTGTGACACGGCCCAGTTCGAGCGGCTTATCGGGCAGACCGTATCTAGAAGAGAGGGAGAGAGAGAGAAAAAGAGAGGGGCCCGGCCAAAAGGGTCAGTAAGTGCTGTACGAATAGAATTTTCATTTAGTTACGGTTTCTGTTCGCTGTGTACGTGGCAGTACATTCTGAATGGTATTTAAGTCTGGGGCCAGGGCCAGTGGCACAACACAAAGAGCGGGAAAATTTGCATAAAATGTGCTACCGGCAGGCAGCACAGACCTGGGGTCCACCCTCCTCTACCCATTGTTTAGTTTGCTAATGGTGTGCACAGGATTCGGACTCTGGACTCCGGACAGCGGACAGCGCACCACCACGATCGGACAGTTCGGCGATTCTATTCGGTATTTTGCTCGGTCTCTCTCTTTCCAATGAAAATTGTGTGGAGCTCATTCAAGCGTAAAATACATTTCAATTTCTATTTATTGTAGTACCTCTCATTCACTCGCTTTCTTGCTGAACAAAAAACGCGACACATTCAAAAGGAAGGTACTATAGAGAGAGAGGGATACAAATTTGACACATGCCTAGGCACAGGGCACAGGGCACGGGGCACAAATGGATTGCCCTACAACAAGTACAACAAGTACAACAAGGACAACAAGTACGCGTACATGTTAGGTGAGGTGAGGATGAAAATCTATTGAACCGAGTCAGTACAAAGCTCATGTTTTATGCAGGCACAGAGGGCCGCGCCTTCACCTTCCGCCCATCCCCTGGGCGACGACCAAATGGCATTGTTCTCTCAGATCGAAGGATTTCTAAGCAGTTCTAAGCAGCCTTAGAGGTGAACTAGAAATAGAAATAACAGCAAATGGGAGATGAGAGAAGCCAAAGGCACTCTGGTGGCATTGCAATTGCGAGGTGGGACCGAAGAGTGCCTCCCAGCAGGTGGAATATCTATTGAAAACTGTTCAAGTGTCCCTCTCCCGAAATGCTGCTCTAAACCCTCTGGCAGTTTGTCAGTTCATCGCGGAGCTGGGAGTTTGGGGCAATGGGGCTGGAAGGGGAACTTACCTTACAACTGCATCCGACTGGCTGATAAATTTATATCTTATGCTGAACTCAAAAGGCTTCTCATCTCGTATATTGCGTGGCGGATGAAATACCTAAAAAGAAGGATGGAAAAAACGAGGAAATAGTAAGAACTGAATGCGATTTGAAAATTTATTGAGATTGAGATCCCCGAAAAGTGCAATCTGAGTGGAAATACGCAATATTCTTTGTCGTCGAAGTGCTGGAAGTTTCGCTGCTGCTTAATGCGCGAAAGAATTGCCATCTCCACGCGCAATTTTCCTTTAATTATGCAATCTGCCATTCTTGCAGTTCCACTTTTCCACATTTCCATGTCAACGGCTCATCAACACGTTGCAGAAAAGTGTCTGGAGGAAGCAGAGACAGAGGCAGAGACCAAACCAACCCAGTTCTCTCTGTCGCAAAGAATCCATTTTTATTAATTTTCATAATTTATGCGTGGCAACTCGACGGCAACTGAAACAAGAATCTCGTCCTGATATGCCCATGGACATGTCCTTTATACTTATATTCCCTTGTCCATTTGCCAACTTTTATGGCCGTGCGTTTATTTAAAAATTAATCAAAAAGTGGCAATGGCAGCCGCGCTGCCGTCGACTGTTGCCTGCCTCAAGTCAACATTACGCATACGCCGTGTGTGCGTGCTGCAAAAGTTGTTCAATTTTAAATTGGAAAAAAAAATGAAAAAATTGCCAGAAAGGACACGTAAGCTCTTGGTTGAAGAGAAGGCCCTACTCTGGCTGAAGAAATTCAAGATGAAGGGGTTCTTGAAGGGAGTGCTGGGAGATCTGTTAATCTTCTTTACACGTTTCTATGGATACATTTTTATTAAAGATAGTATGATTCTCATGGACTCTCGGCAATGCATTACTGGAGGACTTTTACTCACCTTCACAGATGCCGTTACCGTTGATGTTTCGCTGAAATACAATTGCGGTCCTGTGGCCTTGCCGCACCACGAGCCCCCGGTGAACGGGCGTCCCAATTCGCTGAGCTGCCGAGTAAATAAATAAAAATTTAATTAATTAAAAATCAAGTTTGTTTCACCGCGTTGCTGGTGACACAGCACAGCAACGACGCAAACAGGAAGGTTAAAAGCAATTTGCACGGCTCCGCAAAATGTTGCTCTGACGCAACATTTAAAGCCCACTCCAGTCTCCTCCCAGGGCCGTGTAACATTACGCGGAAATTGGGTTAAGTTATAGTTGGATATGCCATGTGCCCTGTGCCCCGTGCCCCGTGCCCCGTGCCTTGTGTCCTGTGCCTTTATTGATTTTATTGGCATGAGTGAAAAGCGCATACAAAATTAATAAACACACGGAACGGCGTAATAGCGAAACAGCGTAACAGCGGGATGCCCCTGCCGACCATCTGGCAGGGACTAATGGATTACGAATATGGCTGGAGTGTTGTGTAATTTTTTGCGCTCTCAATGTTTGATTGTTTTCCTTTCCTCGAATGCAGTTGGCACCGGCAACGGTATAAAGAACTGGAACTATGTGCGCCATATATTTCTGGGCCATCTCTGCCATTTTTTGTATGCGAAAAACTGTTGGCAATTGTCGAAGGTGTGCGACCAGCAGCCAGCTGCAACAACACTGCCCAGTGAATAGCAGAGGACACCAGCTCCAACTCCAGCCAGTCCTGGCTGAACACCAAACCAAGCCCATAAATGTATTTACATTGCGACCAAAAAAAAGGGCGCCTAAAGCCAGGCAAACGGTAGAGCGGATAAATTATTAATGCTCCGAGTGGAGGCGGCCCACAAAAAGAGCAGCCGAGCAGCCGAGCAGTTGGAAGGGAATCAAAAGTGATGGAGTATGGCAGTGCCCTGGAATCTGACAGAATCTCAATCATTCTTTCAGATGCATTCATGGAGTCATCCTGTGATTCATTTGGCACACAGATCTCCTTGAGGAGTCATTATATATTCTCTCAATCATTCGTTCAGCAAAGTAATACATTCTATATTCATTCAAGGATTCATTTAATGAGCACCAAACCAAATCCGTGCTACAGCATACCCCTCAGAGGAAAATCTTCTACCCTTTTATCGGAGGAGGTACAAACGATTCGTTCCGCCCATGGGGCCACTGACATTTATTGAGCCTCGCATAGGCAGCATTAATATGGCTAATACCAGCATGGCATGGCAAGGACCAGTACTAGTGCGAGGGGTGGACAATTTTTTTTCTCCGATTTTCCTCTGTTTCTCTTTTTCTCTTTGCCTGTGGCCTAGGTCGGTGGCCAGCCAGCAGACAGCATCGAGCAATGATGGGCGGCGGCGGCAGTGTCGAGAATGGGAATGGCAGCTCATTTACACTGAGGTTCCAATTGATTAAGTTTTTAGTTAATGGGTTATTTGAACTGAACCATGGTCCGACCGTGATGTCCTGTGCAGTGCCTATGTCGTCCGTGTCTATAGCGCTGGCCCCGAGACCCTTATGCAGGACATGTCCTGCGGCCGGCCCCGGACTCAAACAACAATTTTTGCTGTAATTGCAAAGTCGCCAATCGACGTCTGGCCAATATTTGTAGCTGGTTAGAGTTGCAGTTGCAGAGAGAAAGCGAGACAGAGAGAGAGAGAGAGAGAAAGAGATAGATAGATAGAGATAGATAGAGAGTCCGGGCCATGACTGTCATATTGAATGACCAGAGCCAGTCGTCCCTTGGCCATCCCTTTCCATCTTTCTGTAGGATAAATGGTTGCAGGATAATGGGGGGATAGGGCGGGGCTTTGGGGCTGCTGTGGCAGGACCACAAGCAGGCTCGGCTGCCTGGCATAATGGTAATTTTCTGATTTCGATTTTGTGTAAATTCATTGCAAACTCTGGCCGAGTTCGAGTGAGTCCGGTGTCCGTTGTCCGTTGTCCGGGGTCCGAGGTCCTGCTCCTAGTCGTCTGCCTCTCCCAATCCTTGGTCCTCTTCATCATCGTCATCATGTCCATTGTGTGCATTGGAGCGTTATTAGCATCGACTTCATAACGAATTATTGGACTTTCGTCTTTATCTGTGTGTGTATGTATGTATGTGTGTGTGTGTATGCGGGGGTCCCCTCTCTTTTACCATTTTCCATCTATCTCTGGGTATTTTCCCTATCTTCTCTGCCTTTTTTGCTTTTTCTGCCTCGTTTTGTGTTGGTTTTAAATTGATTGAATTATTATTGTAGCCATGCAGCTATTTTTCGGCCTGCTTGCCGCCTTTGGGGTTAAATCTTAAAGCAATTTTCCTTGATTAGGGCCAAGGCTAATAATGGTCCGACTTTTTGCCCAAACATTTGCTCACATGTCAGTCGGAATAGTCACATTTGTCTGGCCAGGGGTCTTACACAAAGGTAATTGAAAGTTCAGCTTGTTTGTTTATTGTTTCTTGGTTGCACTTAAAAGTCGAAAGAGTTTTGCCCTGCTTAAGCAGGCGTATTTTATGTAGGCTAAAATGTGACAAGGAGTGGAATAATTTAAGAGATTGGTGTACACTGAATATACGATATTGCAGAAAATTATACTTTAATTATATATTTCGTTTTTATATAAAAAAAGTATTGAAATTAAATAGAATTCACATTCAATTCAATTTCATTTAAATATACAACACTTAACAAAAATATTATTCAGAAAATACCTAATTTAAATATGATATATATTTAAATCAAATATTAATGACAAGAATTACGATTTTTTGCAATTTGCGCTCTTGTCATATTATTTTGTTTAAGTCTAAGCGAGAATATTAATATTTTAATTGCAAAATTTAAAGAAAAGAACAAGATATGCCTCGCTTTGTGCTGTTAAGCTGAGTTGTGCACTTCCAGCAGCATTGTGTCGAAAGCATTAAGTATTGAGTGCAACTCAATGTTAATTCTGATCCATTTCGGCCACGCCCTGCGTTGCATTGTTCGGGGCTCAGAGCAGAAACATACACGCGCACACGCACACGCACACACACACACACAGACACATACACGCAGTGAGCGATAAAAGTTTTATCGGCATTGCGCTGATGTGTCCTGGCATCCGCTGGATCCTCTTCTCGCTTCATAATCTGCCAACAATGGACAAAAGCTGCCGCTTGTCACAGAAAGGGAAGCCATTCCCTGCTCAGACCCTTCTGTGATAGTACGAGTGTATGTATTTCCACTTAATTGTGAAACAATTTAAGCGCATTATCTGCAGGTCCCACTGTCCCAGTGTCCCACTGTCGTCCACAATAGATTTATTGGAGTTTAAAGCATTTGGCATATTACAAATAAATTATGAAACCATGGGAGGCTTTTAATTTGCAATACAAATGCCGTTCCGATCCACATAAATCGCTAGAAATGAATAAATAAATAAAAAAAGTATTCTAACCTTTGGAGACATTTTCCTTGACAAAAATCGTAAATTTTCCCACAAAAGTTGAACGGAGAAGACCTCGAGTTGAGTTATGAGCTTATCCAAGGCAAACTTCTGGATGTACATACTTGGCTGCACATGTATATCGTCTGTGTATATATATGTATATCCCAATAAAAACTATCGACAAACTTGAGCATGTCCAAGCTGCTTCCAGTCCTTGGGCTGTTGTTGTCTCATGGCCAGGACGAGGATGGCTCTCTGCAGGAGGAGGAATTGTGGAGGAGGAGCAGGTCTAAGCGAGTGTTATGATTGTCAAATATTGAGTCATTTGCTCAAGCTGCTCTCGCAAGGACACACAGCAAGAAGAGCTGCTGCTGCCCAAATCCCCCCTCCTTGGGGGCTGTTGTTGATTTAGGCTAATACGTTTATGCATAAACTTTATTATTTATGATTAGCAATATTAGCAAATAAAGAAGGGGCGGCCAGGGAGAGTTTTAAATCGATGTCAACGGGGGGGTTTGGGTCATCTAATACCCTGCAAAGCGAACACCACATGTACTTATTTACTGTGAGCAGCGCACAGCGACGCCTGGCCTAAAGATTGTTTGCTAAATTATTAAAAATAATTCAGAAAAGGTCAAGATAAGGACAGCAGCAGCGGCAGCACAGTCCCTGTATCCCTTTTTGGCCTGCTACAAAATGCATGAGACAGAATGTCCAACTAAATTGAATAAATGATTAAACTGAAACTTCAGGCTAGCTCTTAAGTTGGGGTTCCGGGCCCCGGGCTGCGGGCTCCGGATTCCTGGAACTGAACTGACCTGGCCTGGCCTGACCAAATCACACCCGTATATATACGATATACGATATATATATATGTACATATATAGAGGAACGAACGGCAGCGGATATAAATTTTCCGTTTCGGTCAAGAATTTATGTGGCCAGGCCATGACACGCATTATTTATACAAGTTCGAGGGATCGGAGGGCGGTGCCACAAAAACCGCGTCAGCAGTTAAAATTGCCCTTACTGAAAAAACGTTTTGAAAATAAAAAGTAAAGCGAGGCACACCCAGCTTCGATGGAGGGGATAGGGAAATGTGTAAAAAGACCCGGATACAACACAAACCTGCGGTTAGTTACGGGTCCATATACTACACTACTACTCGTAGTAGAACTGCAACGACTACAATGAACAGGGACATGGCAGGAGGGGCAACGCTGCCGGGCAGCGGCACAAAAAAATTGAAAATATTTAACTGCATTTTAAAACTGAAACGAAAGACAGAACAAAACAACAATGACAAAGAATTGGGTTTTCGGTGGAAACATGCAACTCTCGGAAGGACTAGAGGGGGTGTCCCTCTCCCTCTCCCTCTGCCTCGCCCTCTCCCCTGTCCATGGATACCCCGAAAACTGTGACACTGCTGCTGGTGCTGCAGCCTGTACACATGTCAAGCGCCAAATGAAACCTCAACAGGACAGTACAGGACGTGTAGAGGAGAGGATCGGAGCGGAGTAGTTTTTGGGGACGAGCACCGCAAAATGTCAGCGCACGCCCCACGCTTGTTAAAATTTATTGTTGCACAAAGAGCCAGCAGCCGGTGGGGCAGGGACGTGGCATCAGGCATCAGGCATCCCATCCCCGCCTGACACAGAGCCTACAGCCTACAGAGCTAAACTAATAGAGGTTTATGGTTTTCCAGCAGAGAGAGAGAGCTAACTAGTTAGCGAAGGGAAATGAAACCAATGAAAATCCCGACTTTTAGCAATCGGAGAGGCCTGTACAGGTTGATGGAGAAAAAGAGAATCTATAAATAATATAGGCAAACTCTTTACCGAATGAAGAAACAACAAAGTAACATAGAATCTAGGCAGAAATGATTTAAATTCATTAAAAGATAAATGCAGCACACTTCGGGATATCATTTTCAATTCTGAATACGAGCTTATTTAGAAATGATTCAAAGCCCAAAACAGATACATTTGAGTGTCAACACTTTGTACAAACATTTTATTTAAGCTTCAAATGAAAACAGGGAGCATTGGGCAGTAAGGGAAGTGCAAGAAGTGTATCAAAAGCAATTTATCCAATGCCAGTCAACCCCAAAAACCAGCACAGATAAAGATACAGATGCAGATACAGCTACAGCTACAGCTACAGATACAGATACAGCTATAAAAAGAGAGTGGGGGAGGGAACATATTGCACAAGTCAATTACAGGGATTTAGTGGGCTTTTTTGTACATTCTATTTAGCCAGGATTTTAGTGTTGGCATTACGACGATAAGGAGATCCCAGACCCTACCCAAATGGAGCCGCAAAGTTTGCGATAAAAATATATACACACACGACACATGCACACCACACACTACTCACTACACACTATATTCGTACTATAGTATGTTGTTATACATGTTGGTACTACGAGTACATGTTAAATAGTTTTCCTTTTTGTCCCAGTGACGATAGGGCAGGACAGGAATGGGCGGGGCGGAGCAGGGCAGGGCAGGGCAGGGCAGGGCAAATTGATATGAGCACCCAGCAACACGAGCAGCACTCAAGCTTCCAATCCCCAGGATCGACATGACACACACACACACACACACAGGCGTACAATTCAATTCAATTTGCCGGGCTAATGTGGTATTTGTCAACGGAGGACCAAACAGAAAATTACAGAATTGCTCGGACATTGATTGAATCGAACGACAAGCCGAGACGACAACGAAAGACCAACGACGACGAAAGCTGCCAATCATGGCAGGGACCAAAGTACAGGACCAGGACCCCTCACAGCTCCCCGCACAGCTCCCCTCATTCGGCTGGGGCATAAAATTATAGCACAGAGATATGGAGTGCAAATCGTCCCACGGGAGTTGCTCGGCGAAACTATTTTTATGATTACGCAATATACATTTTAATAAATTAAATTTTTTTGGCTGGCTCTCTTACCTGCATGAAGCCCTCGGGGCAGCCGGGCAGCTCGCCCGTGGGACTTAGATTCGTTTCATAGCCATCCACATCCGTATCGACCATGCCTTCGTCGAAGCGTCCCACCGTAAAGCCATCAAAGATGATCTGCCAAAACGGAATATGTGGTCAAAAAAATGTTACGTGCATATAAATATGTACAAACATTAATAGAGTGGCGACTAAAGGGTACCCTATTACATATGTTTGATTTTTATGACTTAATAGGAGATTCATGAGAGACATTAAATTGTGTAAATATATTGCATTATTTTAGGCCGAGAATCCTTTATACACCTCTGCTCATCCGCAACATTCCAGGGTATTAAAACTATATTTTATATTTGCTTAAAGTTATGCAAATGAAATTCCATTTGCGAAAAAAATGTAAGGGACCACGCCTCATTGTGCTTGGTCCGCATCCGCCCACTGTTTGCATATTTGATTGGCCATAAAAAAAGAAGGAAAATTCCTGGGCACACACACACACACAGGCATACACACACGCAGTTTCCCAGAGAATGCCTGGGATGCCGCCAGGAGTCAAGTCAAGGTCGGAGCGGGATGTTGCGTGGCTGAAAGTCAAGTGTCTAATCTTATATGCAATATGTATTCGTCTGTACATTATGTACTCGCATGTACATACATATGTGGGAAAACACTTGTACTTCTCCCCCAATAAAATATGCAAATAAATGTTGGTATTTATGTGTGTGCTGAAAATTGAAAAGAAAACTCCAATAAAGGGTTGCAGCAGCAGCATCAGATTTCATTCCAACACCTCTCTACGAAGCCGAAAGGAGAGCAGAGATCCCATCCAATTTCTAATATTAAACAAAGGAAAAGTGACAGGACCTGAATGAAAGTGCGGGGGACTCTGGCATGGCATTTGTGGCTTCATTAAAAGCTGCACTGGACACAGTGCGAAATTCGGGGGAAAACTTTTTCATTTCAAGTTTGGCTTGCTCTGGACCCTTGGGCAAATGAAGCCAAGTAATTTATGTGTGCTGTTATTTGCTGTGCTGTGTGCTTTTTTGTGGAGTCTCCCCCCCCCCCCCCATATTTCATGGCCAACAGAATTTTCTGATTTGTGACCTGACAGTGCGAGAAACCTTGTTGAAAGTTTTCATCACCAGCAAAAGTGTTTATTTGAATGTGAAGTCGTGTCAACCCTTTTCACTTCCGTGCTTTTTATTTCGAATATTCCGACACAATAAAACACTTAGGAATTGACAAATAATATCGGGAAAACACTTCAAAAAGTCGTCTATTGAAGATATTCGCACAAACTCCATATCAAATTCAACCTAATTGCCATAATAAAAACAAATATTCCCTTACTGAGCGCTGATAAAAAATTTTTTTGCAAATACATATTTTGAATTTACTGCGAAAAAATATATTCCACGCCGAAATTATTTATAGTACAAAAAAAAAAACTCCATTGATTCATGCCTAGAGATATCGGGTTCTTTATTCTGGCTGGTGTTTTTTGTGTATGTGTAAATGTATATGTGTGTGCGTGTGTGTGTATATTCATGCTCGGGCCATTAAAGAGCGTGAAAAAAGTTGGAAGAATGAGGGCTATTTGATTAAAGCAAACAAATTGCAGAGTTTGGGTTAAGTTACGAGTATTTCAGTATTTCCATTAAAAATTAGCCCATGGGTAAATGGCAACGTCCCAGGCAATTTAAACTTCGCCATTGGGTTGGGTGGGGACCGGGGAGCGGGCACCGGGGACTGGGATGGGCTCTCTCTGGGCTCTGACAATCATCAATCAATATGTACAAACAGACAGGAGCAACAGCAACCAGCGCTGTCCGCCCACATCTCGTCCTCGTCCTCGTCCTCGTCCACGTCCTTGCCAATGTCTAACATTATTATTTCAAGCAATTTCCCACACAGACGCACCCAGGGTGAGAAGCAGGAAAATGGCAGCACGGCAGAGTCCTGGCGAGAGCGAGGGAAGAACAGGAAAGGGAAGCCAAGTGAAAGCCAACCACATGATTTATATGCCACGGGGATGAGGAGAAACGTGGACGGGGGAACGGGGTTAAGGTTCAAAAAATGTGGTCTACAAATGCGGAAACACAAAATAAAAAGTTATAACTTATGCATGACAGATTTGTGCAAGGTGCAAAGCCGAAGAAGGAACACTTTTTGCATACACACTCGCATATCCGTATAGCATTTCGTCTACTTATGGAAAGATAAGTATGTATGTAGGGGTATGTGCGACGAATTGGGGAGTGGATGGGTAACTGTTTTTGCTACGATTACAACTTCCTGGAGGGTCTTGCATGTGGAGCTAGAGCTAAAGGGCGATCCCCTTCGCAGTCCCAGCCCCAGTCCCAGTCCCAGCACCAGTCCCTGTACCATTCCATCCCTCGCTCTGAGGAGCGCTGCTCATTGCGATGTTTACGCAAATTGCTTGGGAAATCAATTATTCTCGAAATTGAAATTGACGTTTTTCTGACAGCTCGCCAAAAATGTTTTGAAGCGTGTCTAATTTCATTGTCAACGTTAGTCCTTGCCGTGCTCTTTTCTCTCTTCTCTGCTCGCTGCTCGTTTTGCTGGATTTCCTATCCCGCCATGGTCCCCAAAGGCTCTTTAAAAGAGCTGCTACTCGACTTAAAGAGCGGGAGGGGGGGGGGCGGCCCCCACTGCATTCGGGGGAGTCCTAATGAAGCACGCACAGAATGCCCAGAAACCCCAAAAATGTCAGGAGATATGCCATCGGGGCGACAATCGGAGCACAGACTTGAATGGGCTGCACTCCGTAACAGAGAAGGGGAATATGATTTCTGAATAGCACTTCTCGCAGATGGGGCTGGAAATCATTCGGGGATAGACGGATTTTCTGTATTTTCCGTACGTCAAGATAAAAGTTTATGTTTTTCTTATGTTTTGGGGATTAAAGGAATGATAATTCTCGAAGCAAAATTGGGGTTCAGATACACAAAAACAAAGAAGTACTGGTAACTAGAAAGATTTTCTAATCTCTGAAATAAACAGGGGATTTGTGTCTCTTTTTCCACCAATTTCGTGTATAAATTAAATTCTTTAAATCTGAAAACTTGTGTCAATGCAACTGCATATACATACATGCTTGTACAGGATTGCAGGCAGGCACACACACACAGGCAGGCTCTTATCCGATATGTACGACTGTGCCTTTGGTTGCGGGAGGATACTATGTCTCGAAATATTTCACGGTGGGGCACTTGTGCGTGGCGCTGACTGACAATACCTTCCAGTGGTTCTGTCTGACTGTCTGTGTGTGTGTCGGCGTGTGTTTGTTCCTGTTAGAGTGTCCTCTTCCGCCTCGCCTCTTCTTTCCCCCGCCCCCTGGCCAAGTGCATGGCTATGTGTGTGTGTGTGTGTGTGTGTGTGCAGTGCACTTTTATGTCGCTGACGCACGGCTAATCTTTGGCCTACGGGCGCACTAAAGCCAACAACGGGCCAACGGACAGCGCAGACACCGGACAACGGATACAACAGAAAACCCCGGCAAACACTCCGAACAGTGTACCGAGCCCCCACTCCATCCCCCCCCCCACCCCACCCCCCTCCACGCGCTACTGCGTCCCCTTACTCACCTGAACGATGTCGCCTTGATCATGACCGGATGCTGTGAATGTCAAGTGACAGAGGAACGGCAATTTATTCCACTGTGGCGTTGGCACTTTTATGGCATAGGTGCGTCCAATATCCCCGTAATATGTACGATTGCACACTGTCATCGTGCACAGAGAGAGAGAGAGAGAGAGAGAGAGGAGGTATATATATATATGGTTTTATGTAGACAGAGCCTTCTCGATAGGGCCCCAGCTGTCATGATTTACTCACCCGAACAATGTTTGGGCTCGTCGCTGCCATCGGCACAGTCGCTGCGTCCATCGCAGTATTTGTCCAGAGGAACGCAAATGTTGCCACTGTTCCCGCTGCCCTTGCAGGAGAACTCCGAGACGCGGCACGCAAGACCGAGAGTGGCCAACAGGAGCAGCGGCAGCAGCACCGCGGGCAGCAGCAGTTGCAGCTGCCACGCCGAGCCCCGCATGGGATGGTGGCAGTGTTGTTTGTGGCGTCTCCCCATGCTGGGCAAACCTGCAACGGAGGCGAAAGCGAGGCGATGAATGGAGATTAGTTGAGTCAACAAATTGTCAGGTGATGTGCAGGAATCAAAGGGCTTCAGTCAACTGGAAAATGAGATGGCGGCTGAGTGTGTGACCGTCAGGTGACCCAGATGAGTGCGTTCCTTAGACTTTTCATTGGAAAATAGATTGAGGGAGATAGCTCTCAGTTATCCTTTGCATATCCTTCAAGTAACTTGGCTTCCTTCTAATGCTTCTTAAACTCATTCGTTCATTTCTCTCCCTAAATGTACAAGACTCTTCGTGTATTTCCTCCACCATGTGGGTCCCGTTTCCAAAACCAAAAACATTTCCAACATCATCTGCAAACTCCTCGACATTCCCCTAATTTCTCAATTCCCTGGTAACCTCACAACTTTCTCATTTTTTATCTCTTGGAACTGCCTTCGGCTTCGTCCTCGTCCTCGTCTTCGCCTTTGCCGTCGCCCCATTCTCTAACTAATTATTTTAGCTTTCAGCTTTCGGAATAAGTATTTCCCGTTGGCCACTTGTAAGTTTCGAGAACAAAGGGGGAGAACAGCAGGGGAAGTCAGACCCCAAGCAGCAGACGGCAGTGTCCCCAAAGCAGGGGCTAAGTATATGAAAGTGTCCCGGCTGGCATTATCTTCATTCCTTAACCCTCGCTGAAAGACGACACACACACATGGCAAGTGTTCCGTTCCACTCAGGGGAGGGAAGGACACAATTATAGCACAAGTCGAGCGGGAAACATATTGACAGGACGAACCCACAGGGGGATTCCCCTTCACAGCACAGCACAGCACAGCACAGCACAGCACAGCATAGCAGAGCACAGCACGGATGGAGCGAGAGAGCGGGAGAGATAAAACGGGAATGGGAAGCCAAGCGTTATGAGTGTTTTCCCGCTAGACACGCGTCGGTCCTGCGCTGTCTCCCTGCCACATTATTATGCTTTATTTCCGTGTGCCCTCGCTTGCTCGCCTACTCGGCTGCTTTACTTTTATTAAAAATGTCGTCAAATCTACATATAGAAAGAAGTCCGGGGGAATTCCGCCTAAGACGCTGTCTCAGCATGTTGTCTTGGACTTTTCTCTGCCCTTTTAGTTCTTCCCCAAAGCCGTTCTTCCTTCTGGCCTGGGCCCGGGCCTGGGCCTGGTCCTGGTCTGAAGTGTTTACAACACTTCCGGCATATAATGGAAAACAAAAGGCTTAAAAGGGGATACACAAAGGATTTGAGCAATCAAGTGCGCTTCTGAGAACGCAGACCGATAACAGTTTTCTTTTTCCTTTTTCCTTTTTCCATTTTTATTTTTTTTCTTTTGCTGCCACTGCCTCTGCATCTTTTACCCTCCTCTTTTTTTTCACCTGCCATTAACTTGGACGAGGCTCAATGATGATGGCGACAAGGGGAAAGGGCGAGAGAGAGCCCACAGTTTGTTTCAAAGTCATAACAATGCCGAGTTTTCAATATACGAAGGATCCCGATCCCACACGTATGAGTCATAAACTTCTCCCCCGAGTGTGTCACTGTGTGAGTGCGAGTGTGTGTGTGGCCAGACCAGGCCAGGGCGAAAAAAGGCATAAAACTTCAAGTAGTTACGTCCAAATGTCTGCACGGTTTTAGCCAGCTCGACAGCAACAACAGTAAAAGCCAAAAGGGTGGAAAGTGCGAGAGAGAAATGGCGTTCGAGGGTTTTGCCTCTGCTGCCTCTGCTGCCTTTTATGTCTAAAGTTTCACTTGAACATGGGGCAAAAAATACATTTAAATTCTATGGGGAATGCAATGCTGGCACCTATGGTGCAAAAGGATCTCCGGCTAACGGAATTTTAATTTTAAACTCCACTGGATGTTGGCGAAAAATATCATCAAATCAAAAACTATCTCCACCCACCCCCAGCAACTAGAGCCAAAGTTAATTCAATGCCATCGCTCAATGTGCCTGGTTGATTGAGCTTAAGATTCCAGTTGCACTCGAGCAGGCAGGAAGGATAATAGTAGATCCAACTAAGGATGGCGTCCAAGGATAATCGCTGGCAACACAAGCACCCGCTCAGGTTCAGGAAAAACATGGAAATGGCTTGTAAGCTATCCCCTGACCACATGCCAGCAAAAAAGGAAGAAAGAAAGCTAAAGAAGGAAGAGGAGGCCAAACAACAAAGGAAGAAGCACCAGAGGCACCACCAAACGGAGCAAAAGAAACATTGGACGAGAGAGAGAAGCTTCCAGGAAGAATGGCGGCCATGTACGCCAAGTAATTTTATACAAAAATCTCCTCCATTTCCATTTCATTGTTGGCTCTCGTTGATCCTCTCCTGCTGCTGCTGCTGCTGATGCTGCTAAGGCTGCTTCCTGGCAGTTAGCTACTTCAATGCTCCATTGGCATTCCCATTCCCATTCGCATTTCCGTTTCCATGGCCATTTTCCACGACATAGTTTTCCCCGCACATCCCAAAGATTGTCGTGATTCGAAGGTCTTTCATTACATTTATGGCCACAGAGGCAGACCAGACCAAAGGCAGCAGGAGCTGGAGCAGCAGGAGCCGGAGCAGTCGGAGCAGCAGCCTTTGCCTGAGCTAATCCAATCAATGCACTCTCATGCCTCGACACAATCAAATTCTAGTTACAATTTGAAGTCTCCTCACACACACACACATGCAGACGCACGCACTCACACCCAAGCAATTACAAAGAGAGAGAGAGAGAGAGAGAAGGAAACGGAAACTACATATGGAACTACCATGAGGCAGGGCCACTGACAAGGACAGGACATGACAGGACATGAAGGACAGGCTGGGTAAAAATTTGCCACAATTGACAATGAATTTATGCGATGCTTATGAAAGGCTTACGGGGTAAGTCGCTTTTACCGAATGACAGAGTTCCCCTTCACCCTCTGGAACGAGAGAGACAGCTGGAGAAGACGGTAGAGCGACAGAGACAGCTATAGGTGATGACTGGCACACAGGGAGACAATGGCAGTGACGCAGGCGATGACAATGTTCCTGGTCCTGGGTCCTGGCCCTTCTCTGAAACCTCGTAAATAAAGCGCATCTAGGCCAAAAAAAAAGCGAATCTAATGTTGGGAGCTGCTCAAAGTAAGCAGAGGAGAAGACGAGAAGACCTCCATCAAAGAGGAGAGAAAAAATGGAAATTCTTTTGCTGGTAAAAATTACTCTAAAAATGATGCTGCAAATGAGAACATTTGTATTTTTTCCATTTCCCTGGAAATGAAACAATTTTTGCTAAAAACAAAATAAAAAAATGAACCAAACAGGAAGAAGAAACAATAATAATATTTATAATTAAATTAAGAAGGAACAGCACTTGTGTGTGGGGGGAGGGGGAGGAGTACAGGCCAAAGGCGAGGCGCCTCCAATGGCCAGAAGGCGTCAGAAATTAGCATAACAAAGCCATTAGGCGAGAGGGGCACAGAGGAGCGGCAGTGGATTGTGATTTCAAAGGCGAAATCCAGAGTGGAAGCGGTGGTAATGACAGAGGCACAAGGCACAAGGCCGGGAGACGGAGACCAGAAGAACACTGGGGGGCTGGAGGGGTTGGAGTGCGGGTTCGTGGGAAAACGCTGCTGGGCAACGGCGGAAAAACGCCAACACAAACACAAACAGACTACGAATGTCATCCGCAGAGCAGGAGCAGGCTACACATAGGGAAAATGGGAAAGCACACAATGAAAACAGACTCCCAAAATAACACAAAATAGCCCTCAAGACATGTTAAATTTATGCTAAACCTTGAGTCTACTAAAATGATCTGTTTAATGCTTGCTGCAAATGATTTTTCACTTTAATTTCATTTTTCATGCGGGTTTATTTTTCTTCCAGTGTAGCTCTTTGCTGGTTGCCATTTTTTTTCTCTTCTGCTTTTCCGCTGTCTACGTGGGAAGCTACTTTTTGAGTAATGGCCAAGATTACGCCTGCAATGTAAGGGAGAGGGTGTGGTGGACAGCAGAGGAGTGGAGAGGAGAGGAGAGGAGAGCAGGGCATAGGAGGATTGAGACGAGGTCCTGCCGCTTGTCTTTGCACAATTTAAAGTTGGTGTCACGCATCACGCTTCGGTCTAATGAGTCTCGTTTCTCCTCTCGTTTTCGCTCAGCATCGTCGCATCGTGGCATCGTGGCATGGTCTCTGTGCGGCAACGTTGCAACGTGATTTGGCCAACGCGGAACTCAATCAAGCTGCGGCCCCCAGAGGGAGACGGGCAGAGGGTACGCCCTCTGATGTATTGCGGCGGAGACAATGCGGCGTATGAGCAATATATAATTGGGAATTGGCTGGAACTGAATTAATCAGAGGAGACAAAATAAACGAACATTTCATTGTCATCATTGAAGATAGCGCATTGGATGATGGCCTTGGATTCAAGATATATGGCCATAATCAGCACTATCTTTGGCCATTTGTCTTGCACTATGTTCCACTTGCCTGCACAGAAATTTAATCAAGTTTCCTTTCGCATTTTACACCCAAAGTCATTTGCCCTATGATATGACTTATTTGCCACATACTCGCCACCTCCCTAGCCCTTAACTATTTCTCGTGCTGGCGGGAAATACCAAGAGTCATGACCATTAAAGTTGGCAACACATAAAACTGACGGAGTGCCACCATCCAGCAGTTCTGCGAGTTTTTGCCACATTAAAAATGTAAACTTAATTTTAAAGCCAAGGCGGAGGGACCTCTGGGAGCACCAGGATCTCCTCCTGCGTGTGTAGTGGAGTGGAGTGTGCGGGGAATTTTTAGTTGCGAGTCGGAATTGGTAGTGGTAGTGGCAGTTCTCATGGTAGTGGTAGTGGCAGTGGGGAGAAGGCAGCAGTCTCATACAACTATAATGCCGAATCCCGGACGGTTCTTTCTCTGAGAAAACATTTCGCATAAAATGCCAAATGCTTTTGGTTCTGTAAGCATGTGTATGGGGGGAGGGGCAAGAGGCGCGGGGCGTGGAGCTCCGCTCGTAAAGCAAACGATTGTGTAGCC